TAGATTACCCATCCTTCTCCCACTGAGCAACTGGTGGCCTCAACCTGGTGCCTTCTGGTTGCAGCACAGCTTCTTGCCAGTAGGCCACCAAAGCACCTCTACATTTAATACAGAAGGTGATTTTAAAGACGAGCCTTTTAGTAAATATATTGTTGTTATGTGCTTTCAAGTCACCTGTGACTCGTAGCAACCCTATGTACAACAGCCCTAAACCCTGCTCAGTCCTGTGCCAGCCTCATTGTCTCTGACACACTCACCCTCATTACACCAGTCACTGAATTAATCCACCTCATAGAGGGTCTTCCCCTCCTGCGCTGTCCCTCCACCCTCTCAAGCATGATGTCCCTCTCCAAGGACCAGTCCCTCCTTGCAGCATGTCCAAAATATGTCAGACAAAGCTTCAGAATCCTTGCCTCCAGGAGAAGCCTGGCTTCACCCTCTCTAGGACAAACCTGTTTGTTTTCTTAGCAGTCCATGGTATATTCAATCCAGCAACACATCTCAAAGGCATCAATATAAAAGCCAAAATTAGTTTAAAAATATGCTTTGTTCTTGTTGATTTCCTTCAAGTCGAGCACAACTTATAGCAACCCTATGAACAAAAGGTCTGAAGCCCCTCTACAACTATCAAGATTTATCAAAGTTCATAGAGTTTCTGGAGGCAGGTTGTTTATAAAGAAGGTGATTTTAAAGACAAGCCTTTTACTAAATTTAAAGGCCAAAATTAGTTTAAGAATATTGTTTGTAAATTGGAAATATGTGATTTTTAAAAAATGAGCAAGTAGTGTGTTAATATATAAAATGGTAATTATTTTAAATGGAAAATTGTTTTAATATGCCACAATTTCATCGGTTTGGTATTGTTTAATTTCTTAATTTGCAACCCCAGTTTTATTGGAAGGGATACAATAAGAAACATTCTTTTTTCTAATAAGTTTGACTTGTTGATTTTTAAATGAATGAAAGTTTTGTTTCTTTTTTCTGTGATTAAAATAGGAACATGTTTTTCCTCTTTAAATTCTGGATTTTTTAAAAAAAATATAAATGTATAATTTGCTGCATTGAATATTTTATATTTTATTGAGTATTACAACAAAAACCAGGTTAAGTTCTAATTTCTATTTTAAATTTAGTAAATGTTACATACTGGATAGCCCTTTAACTGATTATCAAGGAAAATGACAATTTAATATAACAAACAATGTACAATTCTTCCTACAGGTTTTATTGAAAACTACAGCTGGAGATATTGACATAGAGTTATGGTCAAAAGAAGCTCCTAAAGCTTGCAGAAATTTTATTCAACTTTGTTTGGAAGGTATTAATATTTTAGTTTTATTCAGTAGAATAAATTTTTATTAACTTAAAAAATAAACAACAGTATATTTTTTCCTTTTTATCACTGAAAACTGAGGTTAAATTTGTATGAGTAATATGATATTGAGTTATGTGTCAAGAAATGAAGAGAGGAAATGTGTTCTTCAAATAACTCTATATACTGTATGGTTTTAACAAAAAATATATCTCACCAAAGAATGTTTTGATCCTTTTTGGTCTCCTTTGCTAGCTAGCTTCTGCTTCTTTCATCCTGTAAAGAAGGAAATTCTAGTTCCCTATTTTCTTCACTTTTTTACGTTTTTTATGTTCATCTAAATTGTTATGTGCTGTTGAGTCACTTGTGACTCATAGCGACCCTATGTACAACAGCTCTGAACCCTATTCTAGCCTGAACCAACCTTATTGTCTCTGACATACCTCCATTAGCCCAGTCACTCAATCAATCCATCTCATCAAGTGTTTTCCTTTCTTATGTTGTTTTTCCACCCTTCCAAGCATGATGTCTCTCCTTGCAACATGCCCCAAATATGTCAAGTGAAGCTTCAGAATCCTTGCCTCCAAGGAGCAGCCTGGTTTCACCCTCTCTAGGGCTAACCTATTTGTTCTCCTGGCAGCCCATGGCATATTCTTTTCCAGTACCATAGCTCAAAGGCATCAATTCTTCTGTCGTCTCTAATCATCATCCAGGTTTCTAACGTATAGCAAGTAATTGCAAAGACTATGGCCTGGAACAGGCTCACCTACCTTAGTCTCCAGATTGACTTTATTACTCTTCAGTACTCTGGAGAGGACCCCACTGTCTTCCCTTTTTCCCTCCACTGAATAGCTGACTGCCAGTGCAATTCGTCTTTAATTGTTTGGCTCCTGGTACCAAGAGTGTAGATTGTGGAGCCAAGCAAACTAAATCTGTTAACAATCTCATTCTCTTACTGTCTATCATGTGCTGCCAGTTGGACCAGTGGTGAGAATCTTTGTTTTCTTGATGTTGAGCTTCAATCCATATTGAAGGCTGCAGTCCTTGACCTTGAAGCAAGTTCTTCAGTTCGTCCTCACTTTCAGCAAGCAGGGTTGTGTCATCTGCACAATGCAGATTATTAATGAGTCTTCCTCCAGTTTTGATGCCACATTCCTCCTCATAAAGCACAGCTTCCTGGATCATCTGTTCTGCATATAGTTTGAAAGAGTATGAAGATAGGACACATCTCTGGCACACACCCTTCCCAGTTTTGAACCATGCAGTGTTTCCTTGCTCTGTACTGATGACTGCCTCTTGGTCCAAGTATAGGTTTCACATAAGCACAATCAAGTGTTCTGGAATTCCCATTCTTCTCAGAGTTATCTACAGTTTGTGTGATCTACACAATCAAATGCTTTTACATAGTCAGTGAAACACAGATAGACACATTCCTCTGGTACTTTCTGCCTTTAACCAAGATCCATCTAACATTAGCTGTAATATCTACTACTATGTCTCTTCTAAACTCAGCCTGCACTTCTGGCAGTTCTCTGTTGAAAAGCTGTTCCAGTCATTTTTGGATCATTTTTAATTGTTCAATAATTTCCATACTCTGTCAGGTCACCTTTCTTTGAAATGGGAACAAATATGGCTCTCTTCTAGTCAGGTGATTATCCTCCAGATTTCTTGGCACAATTGGTGACTATTTTTTATTTTTCATCTAAATTACTATTTAGTACAAACAAGTTTGTCTTGGAGGAAGTGTAACTAGAGTATTCCTTAGAGGAAGGATGGTAAAACTTTGGGCATGTTGTCAGGAAGTATCAGTCTTTGAAAAAGGCGTTGTACTGGGAAAGGTGGAAGACCCTCACCAAGGTGGATTGACACAGTGACTGTAACAGTGGGCCTGAGTATATCATAAAGGATGATGATTGCACAGGACAAGGCAATGTTCAGATCTGTTGTTCGCATGGTCGCCGTTGTTGTGGCACCTAACAACAACAACATGACTGTTAAATTTAGAATTCTAGCCATTTCTTTCACTTCTTATTCCAATTTTATATTTCTACTTGTCTAGTATATAGATTATATTTTATATTTCAGCCAGTTCATTTCAGTTCCAACTGTCTGTTGCTATAGAGTAGATTCTGTAGATCTGTGCTCTGTAGAGTTTTCCACGTTTATGACCTTTTGGAAGCAAACCATCAGACCTTTTTCTACAGTGCCTCTAGGTAGGTTTAGATTACTAACCTTTTTTGTTAGTAGCCGAAAGGACTCCCAGTTCCAACTAAACTAGCCCCAGACCAAATTTAATCCATTTCTTCTCCAAGGTGCCTTGACTTTCACTTTCATGGCTGTGTTTACCTCTTACCTTGTCATTCTTTTTCACATTGTTAATCTCTGTACTTTCTTACTTCATTATTTGGGATTTTAATTTGTAGGTAGGTAGACTTTCTGGCTTTCTGATTTTGTTCTTTTTGCACTCATGACTTATTTTTAATTGACTATTATCTTTATTTCCTGAGCATCTATGAACTTTGATAAATGTCGATAGGTGTAGAGGGGCTTCAGAGCTTTTGCTCATAGGGTCGCTATGAGTCCTGCTTGACTTGAAGGCGGTAAATAACAACAGCAGCCATAAAGCCGTCCATCCAGCTTTCAGAGATATTACCAATACCGCTAATAGATTTTTTTTTTACATTTGAGACATACAGTGACTACTTTTTTAAAAAAAAAAAATTATAGCATAATATATCTGGTTTTCCCTTCAAAATAGTCTGTTAGGGAAATTAAACATTCCAAACATTTTTGGAGCTTCTTGTTGGCCTTTAGAGTACATTGCATATGGTTTTGAATGTCTCCAGTAGTGGCACATCATTGCCCTTTAAATTTGTATCTGTTTTAGAGATAGACAAGGTTATTCAAGGTATTAGGAAACAACGTTTTGGATTAGAAGTAGAATGTGAAAGAAAATCCAAAACAACCAGTAGTAGGACATATTGTGAAATCTCTCCAAAAGATCATTAGAGAAATATATATTACCTGGAGAATATTTAAGGAATAAAAAAGCATCTGAAAACTCCCTTCCCCAAAAAAATCTCAGAGAAAAGACATCTGCAAACACCATTATTAATAATTGCTCTGGCAGGCAGGAAGGAAATCGAGCCAGACAGGTAGTTCAGTCCGAGAATCCTCAAATAACTTAACAGAGGCCGAGAAACACAGGAGACAGAAAAGTCAGACTTGTTTCTGGAAAAAAGTTTTAAAGACTTAAAAGCTCAAATTTTACACAAGGGTAATGAAAATACTTAAACATTAGAAAATATGAATGGTAAATTACAATCTAGGACCAGGTGAATGAAAGAAACAGAAGACATCTGGATACAATATGACAAAAAGAAATGAGGTTTTTAAATTAAATAATGTTGAAATTCAATAACAACAAAAAGTTTTCTTTCCCTGTTTGTAAGAATAATCATCTAGGTGTACAGTTCAGTGACTTACAGTACATTGTACTAAGTGGTCTTTCTATCTAGTTCTAAACATTTTCACTTCAAAGGTAAATTTCATACCCAGAACACAGCCAGCTACCAATTGACGTTCTGTCTCTGTGGGTTTATCTACTCTGGGTATTTAATATATTTCACTTATGTTTTGAGGTTCATCCATGTTGTAGCATGTATCCATGCAGCTTTTTTTTATGGCTGAGTAATATTCCATTGTTTGGATATACTACATTTGGGTTATTTCTTCATCCCTTGATGGATATATAGATTGTTTCCAGCTCTTTACTATTGTGAACAGTGCTTCAGTGAACAAGCTTAAAAAATTAATTGTTTTTAATTATTTTGGGTATATACCAGTATTATTTTTTTGGTGCTTTTGATTTTCATTTTTCTACTCACTAGGAGTGGCATCCACTTCTAAACAACATGCTTCTGGAAACTCTATGAACTTTGAGAAACAACAATATTTATAGTAAGACTTCAAGCCTTTTGTTCCAGGGTTTCTGTGAGTCCTGCTTGACTCGACGGCAATCAACAATAATAACAAAGATGTTGAACCCTTCTTGTTGACAATGATTGCTACTTTCTGATGAAACTTTCTGAGTTAGTCAAACCCTAACTTTTGCCCTAGTACTACAACTAAATGTTTTGCTCATGATTTTCCATACTTCTGCCATGCCCAAGTTAACTTCTTCTGCCTCCATAAAGTCTTGATGTTTTGGGTTTCAGATAATAAGTACTATAGAAGAACATATATGATCTCACCTATATGGTCACACACTACAAATTATATTAAGATTATCATGTATTTTATTATTTATTTGAAATTTCTTTTGGAATGTGCCAAACATATAATCAAATAATTTTGTTATGTTGTAATTTGATATATGATTTATAAATTTTCTATGAGAAGAAAATTTATGTAGGAAATAAGGCATTCATCTTTACCAGACTTTCTCAACCTAAACACTATTGCTATTTGGAACCAATGATGCTTATTTGTGAAAGCTGTCCCATGCATTGTGGTATATTTAGCACTGTTCTTGGCCTCTATCTACTATATATCAGTACCATCTCTGATTTGTAATAACCAGAAATGTTTCCAAGCATTGACTAATGTTTCCTGTGATACAAAATCATCATCCTCTCTTTAATTGAGAACCTCTGAGCTATATTTTTGTTACTATGTGCTGTTAAGTCACCTGTGACTCATAGCACCCCTATGCACAATAGCTCTGAAGCTTGCCCTGTCCTGAGCCAGTCTCACTGACTCCAATATACCTACCTCTATTGTCCCATTTACCATATCAATACAGGCTCTTTCTCTATCTCTTTTTTTTTATATTATTTGTGTGTGTGCATGTACCGTCAAATCAGATCTGACTGGTACAGGAGGAGACTGTCCCTCCTTCCTCGGCAGAGCATCTGGTGGACTCGAACCGTGCGCCTCTGGGATTGCAGTGCAGCTTCCTGCCACTAAGCCACCATTGCTCCCCCGGTCTTTCTCTCTTGTGCTGTCCTTTCACTCTTCCAAGTATGATATTCTTCTCTAAGGACTGTTCCCTCCTGGCCAAATGCCCAAAATATATGAGATGGAACTTCAAAGTCATTCCTGCACATTTTATTCTATAACATTTATTACAATACTTTACATTGATCATCTGCTCATTCCATGATATCTTTTGCTATACCTGTGTCAGTAAATATTCATTATAGAGTAATAAATTTTTTATCCTCTCCATCCTTCTCCCTAGTAACCATTCTAGTAAGATTTTCTCTGTGCATAAACCTTTCCTTAGGTCTTTATAATAGTGGTCTTCTATATTTGTACTTTTGTGATTGGTACATTTTACTCTAGTATTTATTTTGAAACAATCCAGAGTGAGGGAATCCTGGATCAAAATAAAACGTAACAGTAACCATGGTTTATGCTATTACATGGTATAAAAAAATCTTGTGACTCTAGTGGTAATATCTCTATAACTATTATATAAAATAAGCTGCAAATGTTAATAATTGATTTAAAATTTTCTTTTCAGCTTACTATGACAACACCATTTTTCATAGAGTTGTACCTGGTTTTATAGTTCAAGGGGGAGATCCTACTGGCACAGGGACTGGTGGAGATTCTATCTATGGAGCCCCATTCAAGGTAAGGCTAAATTTTTATTAAATTATTTTAGTTCAACTTGTATTGCTTAACTGAAAAGGATTGAATTCTATAGGAAGGAAAAAGAATTTACAAAGGTACACACAGAATCAAATGCCTATCATATATTTAGTATTTTGCAAGAGCAACTTTTTATCTACCAATCACTTTTTTTAGTTGTTTTATGATAGAATTTTATAGCTCTGAATTCAGGTGACAATAAATGTGTTTGTGAGGAAAATGTGCAAGGGGGAAAAAAAGGATAATAAATAGTCCCGACATTAGAAACAAGATTGATCCTTGAATGTGTCTTTAAGAATTTTTACGTTAACTGGAATTAGAAGAGGTGTATAGTTTTTTCTTAACCTTATTTTTCTTGTTACATGCACCATCGAGGCAGAACTTACTCATAGTTAACCCTCCACTGGGTTTTTCAGAGACTGTAAATCTCCTGAAAAGATACTGCCCATTTTTCTTCCATGATCCTTATTTTAGTCTAAAAAAGAACTCCAGGCATTTTCAGAGATTTAAAAGATGCAGTATAGAAAGTGAGGGTTGATTGCAGTGACTGTTGTGAGTAGGGGTTGGTTCTCAAAGTAAGAGCAAATTTATCTAATATTAAAGGGTAAGTAGGAGTTGTTCATTATGACAAAGAAAAGATTGAAGCTGTCAATGGTTTCATCTTGCTTGAATCAGCAATCAAGACCCCTGGTACTAGAAGTCAGGAAATCAGGAGACGTGTTGCATGGGGCAAGTCAGCTGTCAGGAACCTCTCTAAAATACTGAAGAGCAATGATGTCAGTTTGAAGACCAAAGTGTGCCTGATTCAGGCCATGGACTTCTCAGTCACCTACTGTGCATCAGAGAGCTGGGCAAAGAATAAGTATGGTAGAAGAATAATTGGTGCTTTTGAGTTGTGGTACTGGAGAAGCATTCTGAATATCCCATGGACTGCAAAAGAGCAAACAAGTATGTCCTGGAAAGGGTATGGCCAGAGTGATTCTTGGAGGCAAGGATGATGAGGATTCACCTTTCATACTTTGGACCTGCAGCTAGGTGAGTTTATTCCTTGGAAAAGGACTTCATGCTTGGAAAGGTGGAGAGTCAGGGAAGGAGAAGAAAACCCCCAACTCGATGGATTGACACTGTGACTTCAGCAGTGAGCCCTAGTGTCTCAAAGATAATGAGAATGGCACAGGATAGGACAGGTTTCATGTTGGCTATTCACAGGGTTGCTATGATTTGTACTTCACTTGATGACATCTAACAATAATTTTCACTAATTTCATAGAGTATCCTTTCCTAGGTCATTGTGTGATTCTTGAAAAAATAAAAAAAAAAAAAAGAACCACGTGCTTTACTTTTCAGATAATTACCTTGGAAAATACTGAATGGCTACTTAAAAGTCTCAGATATTAGTGTGATACCATTTTTTATTTTACCAGAGTGAGATGTGGCATGATTTTAGCACCTCCATCTCGCAGAAAGCATTCCTTTATTCTATTTGATATAATAGAAGAACTTTATTGAAGGTTACTTCTAAACTTTGAATTTTTTTCAGTTTATTCAGTTATCTTTTTTTAATTAGGTAATTTTAATACACTATAATGCAAGTATTCAAGACAATTAGAATTATTTGACGGATCATTTAAGAATCATTTATTAAGGAAGAATAATTTTCTTTGTGAGAAGTGTTGGTTATATAACATATGGATAGAGACTCTCTTAAGAGACTTGTGTATATGTTATGTAGCTATTCAATACCATTAGGAAAAAAATTAACCCAGTTCTACCTAGTTAATTCCAAGTAACGGTGCCCCTGTAGGACAGACTAAAATTGACATAGAGGGATTCCACGTCTGAAATCTTTACAGAAGCAGACTCTGGGCATCTTCTTCCTTTGCGGTGGCTCATGGATTCAAGCTGCTAACATTTTTTTTCCTACAGGCCTAGTGTTAAACCCCTGCATTACCAATATCAAATAAACCTCCTTTGAAAACTGGCCCGTGGGAACAGTGTCAGTTCAGAGAATATTTTAAGATTATACAAAACACAGTAAAGTTACTTAATAAAATCATAGTAGAAAAGTTAGATTTAAAAGCAGGAAGAACACAGTTGTTCATGACAATTTGAATGGATGTGGGGAATGATAATTGAAGAGTCTCCAGTGGTTTCAGCGTGGTTTGCCTGGAAAAATAATGTTACTAGGTGCTATTGATGTAGTTCTGATTCAGAGCAACCCTCGGTGCAATATCACCATCCTCACAGTCACTGTGCTGCTTGGGCAAATTGGTGGCTTCTGTGTCATTTCATCTCTCGCCATGCACTTAGCCACTCCTGGTAATATGCCTGAAGTATGTGACATGAAGCCTTACCAGCCTTCTTTCTACAGAGTCTCTGGTTGCACATTTCCCAAGATGTATTTGTTTGGGGCAGTCCATGTTGTATTGTTGGGTGCCGCCTAGTCGATAGCAGCCCTAAGAACAACAGACCTGAATCCTGTCCTATGCCGTCCTCACTATCTCTGATATACCTGAGCCAATTGCTGCAGTCACCACGTTAATCCATCTTAATCTGGATCTTTCTCTCTTCCTTTGACCCTCAACCCTTCCAAGCGTAATATCCTTTTCCAAAGAATAGTCTCTTGTAGCAACATATCCGAAGTATGAGAGACAAAATTTTATCATTTTTGCCTTCAAAGAGAACTCTACAGCTTGCCTTCTTTTGACAACTGATATTGATTAGAATATCAATCTTTATGCATTCCATTGGGTTTTCACAACTTCCAATTTTCCTAGATTCATACATCATAACATTCCATAGTCTGATTTTTAGCACATGTTTGTAGTGATTTCTCTTCATTTTAACCCATTCCACATAAGCTAGTGAAGGGTCCTTTGTTACCTGAAAGCTTTACATCATCCATATCATTGAGGCAGACTCTACTCTGAGGAGACAGCTCTTCTCCGTAATTCAGTGCCTGTCAACCTGAAAGGGAGCTCTTGTGGCCTGGACCATAGCAAACTCATTTCCTAACCCAGAGGAAGTGCCTTTCTGACAGTTCAAATCCACTAGCTTTTAAAGAAGTTGAGAATTCTCTCTCCTGAGCATTTACAACCTTTGAAAACTCCCTAGAGGATTGGTTTTCACTTGATAGCACTGAGTTTGTGTTTCCTGAGTTTTCAACCTGAGGACCACAACTTTGGTTCTATATTTGATAGTGTTCCACAGCTATCCATAAAGTTTTCATTGGTTAATTATTTCAGAAACCAGTCTGTTCCTTATTCTTGGTTCTAGAAGTCCCCTGAAATCTGTCCATCATGGACAGGTGTTTCTGTGATGCTGGAAGGAAGCTATGGGACCATTATTTCAAATACTCTCAAGCTTTCCCATAGTGGTCATAGCGTCTGGACTAAAAATTCAAGGAAGCAGTATTGTCTGTTTACTTCTGAAATAATTGGCCAGTGAAAACCCACCATTCATCTTTATAGTTGTTGCCCTATGCTGGCTATGTGAAAATATAATAAATAGAAGGTCTTAAAACCTTAAAATCTGTGGTGTCAGAAACCCTACAAATTAGTTTTTCTAGCCACTTTGTTAGCCCCCATTTTGGGTGATAGTCTCCAGCTTTCTTAAATGTGAACACATCATCTTGCAAATCATCAGTCACTGTGGGACCAGTATAAGAGAGATAGCTTTCCACACTCTGAGAATCCCTGCAATGATGATGTTGGAGAGAAAGTAAAGAGACTGTGGCACTACTTTGAAATAAACCAGAGGAACCTTGGAGATTTGTTAAACTGAAACCTGAAAGAGCTGACTTGTAACTGCTCTGAGATAAAGTTTGCTGGATGCTTGAGGAAACCGGAAGTTTCTTGAATTTGTGCTGCTAAACTGAAACCTGGACTGTTGTTATCTGAGGATTTATGCCTTGATAATCTGGCTTAGGTTGTGAGATATTCTTTGCTTCCCCCTCTCTCCAACCTATTTCCCTAATGAGCTCCACAATTATGAGTTAAGTTTGTGAGTCTTACAACAAATTTTAAAATGAACCCAACAGTTGGTAGAAAAAAAAATGCAGAAACATGGGAAGTGGGGTGTCTGATTTTGTAGTTATTTTGGTACAGTAGATATTATTGATGGGACAGTTCCCCATTATGAAGAGGGTAGAAGTCAGATTTGGCCACTCTCATTCCACCTGCTCCGTTTGTAAAATCCCTTTGAGAGATGGGAGGATAGGGAAATAATTCTAGAAATTCATTCACCATTGTGTAAGCAGCTTTCCACAGAATCAGGAAAATAAGGATATTTAGAACATACAGAAGAGCTAGTGAGGTGAAGTGTTACAGCATGGAAGAGATAGTAAATATTAGATTTGATTATGCTTTAAATCATTAGAGAACTTTATTTTTTATTAAAAGTTGTTCAAGGCCTTGCTGGTAGGATGAACAACTGACGAAATATCAAGGATTTTACTCTAACTGGGGTCATTCACTAACCTTTTCTTTTTAATTCTTCAGGATGAATTTCATTCTCGGTTGCGTTTTAATCGGAGAGGACTGGTTGCCATGGCAAATGCTGGGCCTCATGATAATGGCAGCCAGTTTTTCTTTACACTGGGCCGTGCGGATGAACTTAACAATAAGCACACCATCTTTGGAAAGGTTTGTTTCCAGTAATCTTCACCCGTGTTTTGGTTTATTACATTATTGTATTAGCTTCTTTGATAAACATGATCATTTTTTATAAGGTCTGCTTTCATAAAACTATTCTTTACGGTACTATTTCTAAAAAATGATAGAATATATGTGTGTTATAATGGATTATCAGGGACCACATATATTCTCTTTTGTGTATTTAATAAGTCTTAGCTATGTCTCTGAAGTTTCTTTTTATATCTTAATGATATCAGCTACTATATCACAACAGTTATTTTCACTGACTTTGATCAGCAAGGGTAAAGAGTTTGCATATTAAGTTGTCTAAAGATATTTTACATGGAGTTTCATTGAACTCGGTCACTAAACTAATTTTCAGTCTTTTTGCCTCAGGAAACATGAAAATTATAATTATGTCCAAAACCTTCTAGAAGGGATTCTAATTCATTTGGTTTGGGGACATTGCTAAGTTGTTGTTTTTTTTAATGTCCCCAGCCATGGCACAATGCAGCTAAGGTTGAGAACTTTGAATTAAAACTGCTACTTGCTTTTATTGAGTCAATCAGGGTTTTGCCTAAAATCATTAACATTTAGAGTGAGTTAGTGAGTGTGTGTGTGTGTGTGTGTGTGTGTGTGTGTGTGTGTGTGTGAGAGAGAGAGAGAAATATTTGCGAATTTGTCTTTTGGCCAGCATGTTAACATTTAGTTCTGCAAGTATTCATACAAAATCAGATACATACAATCTGTACCTCCTACGATTTTGGTAGTAATGCTTCTAGTCAAATAAGTAAATTTTGGGGTGACAACACCAAATATAAGAGGGAGCAGGAATGGCATCCACTTCCTAAACAACATGCTTCCGGACACTATGAACTTTGATAAATGACCCTTGTTATAGAAAGGCTTCAGGCCTTTTATTCATGGGGTCTCTATTAGTGGTGCTTGACTCGATGGCATTCAACAGCTGTGTCATAAAGACGAACTTGAATTTACAGTTTTATGAAGACTCCTATATCGTAACATTTAATAGTTTGAAATTTGTTTCATAAATTATGAATTCTTTAAATACAAAGTAAAAGTTGTACTGACATTGACATTTTTTACTGGAAATAGTATTTTAAATGAAAACCCAAAACAAAGCAAATCAGTCCTGACTCGGTGACATCTAATGTTGCAGAGTAGAACTGTATTTCATGGGTTTTTCATTCTGGTCACATTTAAGGTCATAGCTTGCTGTTATGTCATAGAATGTCTTTTAAAATTTAAACAATTTTTGTAGAGAAGGACTTACTCTTCTCCCTTCTGTAAAAAAAAAACGTATTTATATATATATTTTTTTATATTTATATTATTTATTATATATATATTTAGTCAAGTCTAAATTATATGTGTGTGTGTGTGTGTGTGTGTGTGTGTGTGTGTATGGATAATTTAGACTTGACTAGTGTGTTAGCGCCCTCTGCTGGCTCAGTTAGACTATTTCCCCTCTATCCTAGGCAAAACTACGTTTTGTGATGATGGGAGGGTGAGGAATAAAATTAGCACTATTGGATATCCTTTATTGTTTAAAAATTCTTTAGAAATGTTGAAGAAATCCTATGATGCAATAATTTTTCTTAATACTTAACCTAGGCTAAGAAATGTGCACTGGTGCCATCTTCCTAGCTATTCTGCCACAGGCAATCTCTTATTATTTTAATGAGTGTATATTAAAATGGTTTAATTTTATATCCTTTTTTAAAAAACAATTCATATTATTTAATGAGAGCTCTGTTGACCTAGTACTAAGACGTTGTGCTGCAGTCCCAAAGGCACATGGTTTGAATTCACCAGAAGCTCCATGGGTGAAAGATGGGCAATCTATTTGGTTTACTGCTTATGAAAACCTGCTGGAGGGTCAGGTATGGGTCGAGTCTGACTGCATGGTATTCATTGAAGACGACAACAATAAAAACATTATATAACTTACACATTACAAAGTTTAACACTCTGGTTAGAAGTCAGAACGGGCATCACTATTGAACTTCTTTATCTTCTTTATGTATAGAAAGAGGCTGATGTCAGTACTTAGTTTTAAGACAGAGAGCTCTGGTGGCATACTCCATAGGGGAGTTGTGCTGCTAACCCAAAGGCTGTGTCTCTGGCGGTTCTAATCCACCAGTAGCTCCTCAGAAATAAGATGGACAGTCTTGTTCTGTGTTATTTATAGCCTAAGAAACCCAGTAGAGGGTCAACTGTGAATTGGTTCTGAAACGACAGTAGTGAATAAGTGAGTTTTTGTGTGTGAGGATCAAATAAAAGCTACAAAGCACTCACCAATCATTAACAGTTGTTTTTGTTATTCTGGGTGCTGCCTGTGACTCTGTGAACAACTGATCAGAACCTTATGTCTTTGTTTGGACAGTACAACTCCCTACCCACTAGACCACCAGAACTCCCAACTGTTAATTGGTTTGTTTTTAATTTGCTTAATCTACCCTTTTCTGGATCATAACAAGTTGTGGCTGACATTGAAAAGAATGGAAGTTCCAGAGCACTTACGTGTGCACATACAAAACCTATACCTGGACCAGGAGGTAGTGGTGCAAACAGTGGGGGGACGCTGCATGATTTAAAATTGAGAAGAGAATTCATCAGGGTTGTATTCTCTCTCCATACATGTTCAATCTATATGCAGAGCAAATTATTCAAGAGGCTGGCCTCTATGAAGAGGAATGTGGCATCAGGATTGGAGGGAGATTTATCAATAACCTGTGTTATACAGATGACACAACCTACTTACTAAAAGTGAGGAGGACTTGAAGCATATCAAGGAGTGTAACCTTCAGTAGGGATTGCATCTCAATGTCAAGAAAACAAAGATTCTTACCACTGAACTGATAGGCAACATCATAATGGATGGAGAAGAGATTGAAACTGTCAACAACTTCATCTTACTTGGATCTACAATTAACACCAATTGTACCAGCAGTCAGGAAATAAGGAGACGTATTGCATCAGGAGGAAAGAGGATGAAAGACACTCAAGTGTTGAGGACTCTCCTTCATAGGGTCACTATGGGTCGCCTGCGACTTGACGGCACAACAATAACATCAACATAGAGAGATCAGCTGGCCCACTGGACAGAAAGTGATGTACCAAGCCAAAGGCGGGTGACTTTTAATCCGCGGCGCTCGGGGCAGTCTTTCATTGTTTTTGTTCAGACATTCCTCTAGATCATATAGCCCTGTTGTACAAGTTGCCGTACAGCAGTAACTTATGGTTGCTGTGAGGCTGAACACTGTGACACTGATGCATCAAATGCATTAATGGTTGGTCATCCAATGTGGACAGAGACTGGAGTGGAGCTCCCCAATTAAAACAAGCTTGGAAGGAGGAGTGGCATCCACTTCCGTAATAGCTTGCGTCCGGAAACCCTATGAACCTGGAAAGAGGATGAAAGACACCCAAGCATTGAGGACTCTCCTTCGTAGGGATGCTATGGGTCGCCTGCGACTTGACAGCACTTAACAACAACAACGTTGCATTGGGAATTGGAAGGAGAATTGGCATCCACTTCTAAACAACATGCCTTTGGAAACTCCATGAACATTACAGAAACAACTGTAGTGCTACAACATTGTTCAGATCTTTTGTTTATAGGGTAACTATGAGTCATATTTGACTCAATGGCACCTAACAACAACATTGCACTGGGAAAGTCTGAAAGTTAGGGACTTATCCAGATTATTGAGGAGTTATGGTGTCATTTTGAGGACTGATTTGTGTCTGCTTCAGGCCATAGTCTTTTGATTACTTGTTATACATCTGAGAGCTGGACAATGAATAAGGATGGCAGAAGAAGAATTGATGCCTTTAACCTGTGGTGTTGGCAAACAACACTGAACATCCCATAGATCTTCAAAAGAACAAACAAATGTGTTTTGGAGAGAGTGCATTGCAGTCAGAGTGCTGTTTGGAGGCAAGAATGATGAGATTTCATCTCTCAAACTGTGGGCATGTTGCTAGGAGGGGCTATTCCTTGGAAAGGTCATGATGCTAGGAAGGGTGGAGGGTCTGCAAAGAAGAAGATCCTTGAGCAGGTGAGTTGACAAGGTGACTGCTGCAACAGGCTCCAGTGTGTCAGGGTGTATGAAGATGGCACAGGATAGGACAAAGTTCAGGTCTCTCTATATGTCATACTCAACTCGACGGCACCTAACAACTTTTCTGACATCTAAATTTTTTTATGATATTTGAAGAAAAGGTTATCATTCAGTAGGTGATGCCTTTAAAGAAAACTAATATTAAGTATATATTGAAATTTTAAAAAATTTATTGAATGCTTGAATTCCTTCCAGGTATGATTTTTTCACCCTTATTAAGCTGCTTAATTTGGATTCTTAAATTGATATGTTCTTGTAGAATGTTGTTGTTACGTGCCACTGAGTCACAATCAACTCATAGCTGATCCTCTGACAGGTTTTAAGAGGCAGTAAATCACACAAAGGAGATTGCCCATCCTTCTTCAGCAAAGCAGCTAGTGGATTTGAACTGTGTGTCTTTGAGATTGCAGCACAGTTTGCTTGTTTGTTTTATAGATATCTTTTTATTGTGATTTTAGTGCAAGTTTACAGAAATATTGGATTTTCATTCATTAATTGTTACACACTCTCCTCCCCAGCAGCACAGTTTCTTATCACTAGGCCCATGGAGCTCCCTACAATAATTTTCTCAAATTATTTTAACATTTCCCCCCTTTGTTTTAGGGAGCTCTGATGGCCTTTAGCTTTCTCTTTTTACTCTTGCTCCCTCCATTTATCAAATTATGCGACCTTATGATTTTTCCCTGCCCATCCTTACCCCTTTGCTCCCACCCTTCCACTCTTAAATCCTTATACGTGTTTTAGTAGTTTTCTGTTTCTACAATAATGATCTTATGAGATACCATCTCATACCAGTAGCAGTGGCAAAGTTTAACAGGATAATAAGCAATGAATGTTGGATACAATGCAGAGAGATACAAACTCTCATACACTGTTGGTGGGATTGTAATTTGTGCAACCACTCTGGAAGGTAGTTTGGCATTTCCTCAAAAAGCTGAACATAGAAATTACATATGGCCCAGCTTTATTCCACTTTTAGGCGTATACCCCAAGGAAGTTAGAACTGAGACAGAAATGGAGATTTATATAGGAATGTTCATAGCTACATTATTCACAATAATGCAACAACATAGAAACAACCAGATGTCCAAGCACATTTGAGTAGGTTAAGAAATTGTGGTATATTCACATGATGGAATACTATGCAGCACTAAGAAACAAAGATTTAAAAAATTACTACATAACGTAGGAGAGAGTGGAGAACATTTTGCTGAGTGAATGAACTCAGTTTCATAAGGACAAATACTGCCCTATTTTAAAACTCGTTTTTAATGTTCTTTTTATTTTTTTAATCAAGGAATGAGTTTAATGTTTGCAACTAAACTATTTTCTCTTGTCATAGGTGACAGGGGATACAGTATATAACATGCTGAGACTAACAGAAGTAGATATTGATGAGGATGAAAGACCACGTAATCCACACAAAATAAAAAATTGTGAGGTAGGAGCATGATCATGGTGCAGTGTTATATTTCAGTTGTCATTTATGAGCAATTGAGTATTGGGATATTTTAAACTGTTGAGTAAAGGTCTATTTAAACAAATTAACAATTCAGGTTTTTGTAATTTATTGAGGCACATTTCTGATTAGCATTTTGTTTTCTTAATTAAAGATGTTAAATTCAGAGATGAAACTTGCAATGATAATTCAGTCAATGACAATGCAAAATTACAGGAATTACATTTATTTGGCCCAGAAAATTACTTGATAGCTTATTTAAGAGTGATCTTTTATGGAGAAAGCCAGGTCTTTAAAAGTACTTGATTTAGAGTCAAAATACTTGAGTTAGTTTGTTGTCTTGTGCATCATTTAAATTTTCTTGATTATTTTTCCCTTTTGTAATATAATGCCAAAATATACCTTACATGTGATTTCCTGGGAGAATCTATGAAGAATATATGAATGGAAATACTTTATTAGATAAATATATATGTCACAGTACAAATAATGGTTACGGGAGGTAAATGTATACACTAATACAGTGCAGTTAAGACATTAATTTTTTATGAGATTTCAAAAAATTAAATGATACTTTTGAAACATTTTTTCCCATAGGTTTTGTTTAATCCTTTTGATGACATCATTCCGAGGGAAATTAAAAAGTTGAAAAAAGAAAAACCAGAGGATGAAGTAAAGAAATTAAAACCCAAAGGCACAAAGTAATCCTAGTAGAAAGTTTTCCTTCTACTTCTCATGCTGCACTGCTTTATTTCATTTATTTCCTTAAGTAATGAAAGTTTACCAATTAGGGGAAGGCTAGTTGGGATCAAGTGGATATCTGAGTTAAATGTTTTTTTCCTAAATAAATATCTTTTTACAGTTAAGAAAGTACATTTTAAGCTAAAGAAATATTTTCTCAGAAGTCCATAGGAAATTTGTGTTAAGAAGTAATCAAAGAAAAAAGAAATTAAAAAAAATTATCAAAAGTTCATATGAAATTGTGTTAAGTAATATTTTTATAACCATACTACCAACTGTTTCTGTAAATGAGTTAAAATATTGTGCTTTGTTTTTCATTTGTTTTAAATTAGTATATGCTCAGTATAAAGAATATGGAAAGCCAAATATATAAAGAATATTTTTAATAACTGCATGGTTGCATAGTTTATTTAACTTTTCATTCCTTTCTGTTACTATTCAAAATAACATTATGAATGTGTTTATAAATACAACTGTGTTGCTGTTTTGGAGCTCCTTATATACTAAAATTGAGTGTTTATTTTGGCTTATGTCCTTAGGGCACTTTTCCAAAATTAGAAACTTAAAAATAAGTTTCGATATTTTGTGGACATCATTTTTTTTTGCATTGTTAATTTTGTTTTTTGAGAATGAATATTACAGAATTAGAATTAACTTTTTTCCCTTCTACTGGATTAAAATACGTATTTGGGATTTTATTGTGCTTATTTCTCAATGTAATCTTGCTGAACCCATTTAATAACAGAAAGTTTAATCTTTCTGAACTTTAGTTTCCTCATCTTGTAAAATGGAAAATATAATAATTTATACCTTTTTTTAAGTACAAAACCTTTTTTATTTACTTCTGTTACAGTAATAATTTATACCTTTATGTAATTTTTTTCATAATTTATGAGGTTTGAGTGAAAAGTTTGTGAAAACACCCAGTAGAGTAGATGTTCAGTATGTATTAATTTCTTTCTTTGACCTCCTATAAGTAAATTAGGTTGCTTTTATAAAGCGTCTATTTGAAATCAGCAGCTACTCCGTGGGAAAAGATGAGCAGTATCCTCTTGTGTGATTTAAAGTCTCTGAAAACCTACTTAAGGGTCAGCTATGAGTCAGTCTGTCTCAATGACGTATAACAACAGCAACATATGTGATAGCTTTTATTCTTTGATTTATTTATATTGACCAATATATCCTATGGGTGAAAAGTTAGTGTTGAGGTAATATTGAAATATTTCATCACTGTGCTATCTTGACAATAGCTCTAAAGTTTGTGTTTTATTAAAAATGTATATAACAAGTATGTTTTAAGGATAGTGCAGTGATCATTGAGAGAATTTTAATTACTTGTCATTTATCTTGGAATTTTCTCCTTTATCCTGAAGTATGAAAGGAGAGAAATGTAGTTTTTCTTCCCATTGGCAATTTTTAAGTTAGGTTTTACTACTTAGATTTTTTAATCTGAAAATTTTGCCAAACTTGTTATTTTTAAATATTTATACATATTCTGGTAGATTAATAAATCACTTTATACTTTTAGTGCTCTGGGAGACATGCAATTTATTCCTCTGGAAATACTATGAACTTTGATACATGTTGAGGTTGTGGAGGGGCTTCAGGCCTTTTGTTCATAGGGTCGCTGTGAGTAGTGCTGGACTCAAAGGCAATCAACACAACAGCCACTTAGGATCACTTTTAAGAAATCTAAAAAATCTAGATTATTTCTGTCAATCTTAACATAGTACATTTTTGGTAGTGCTAGAAATGGATTTTTGGTCTTCTGCCTAGCAAATATGAAACATCTGTGGTCTAAGGTCAAAACCTTAATATTTAATGAAAATATAGATAGTATGTTTCTGATGATTTCTAGATGATACCATCTTTTGTTACATAGAATTTTTTATTTTTGTGGATTTTCTTCCTTTTTTTGAAAATAGCATAGTCATAAAATTGACTTTATTTTTCTAATTTCTTTAATTTTTTTCCCTTTACCATTTTTTTTTTTTACTAGAAATTTTAGTTTACTCTCATTTGGAGAGGAAGCTGAAGAAGAAGAGGAGGAAGTAAATCGAGTTAGTCAGGTAAAACTTTATTTTGTCAAGTGATCTGAAATATAAGGATGTCTCTGAGTAATTTTTATATCTCTTAGTATAATGTAGTAATTTTATTATCTTTGTAGAGAAATTTAATGTGTATTTGATCCTTTAATTGCCTTAATTTTAATTCACAAACCAATTCATTTTCCCACTTTCCCACAAAGCTTGTGATAACATAATCCAGGGGGTGAAACAAGACCAAGAATTCCTGCTTGTTTGAAAGTTTCAAATATGGCTATTTTTTAAAAGGAAAGGAAAAACCCACCAAGCTTAGTTCCTCTTCACGGAACAATGCTAAGGAGTGCAATGACTTTACAGAGACAAAAGATAGAATTACAAAGTCTAAGACCTGTCAAACAGAGCTTTGCAGGAACATACTGTACCCTCCCAACAGTCATAGTAATAGAAAATAGCTTATGCACGTGAGAAGAATAACACTCTATGTTCTTCTTACATATATGTGGAGAGGTACCTAAAGAAACCATGGAAATATATATGCAGTGGTGGTTCAGTGGTAGCATTCTTGCCTTCCATGAGGGAGACACAGGGCTTTTGGTTGTTTTTTTTTTTCTTTTTCTACTAGTTTATTTACATAGTACATTTAATATAGTATACACATGCATGTTTGTTCCCTAGTAAAATGAATCTGGCCTAATATTGGTAATTTCTGAGATAATTGACTTTCACAAAATTCTAGTTTTGTTTTTTAGTCAGAACAAGAATGCTTTTTTTAGTGGTTAAATAGTATGATTCAGATTTTAACTGCTATCTAATTGTTTTCTTAGCTAATAAAGAGTCAGAAACCAAAACTTTCTATTCATTTATTACTTCTACATTTTGTGCCTTTCCTTATGGGGGGGGGAAGAGCACATATCCTTGAACCTTTGCCTAGGGTGGAGGTCTGCTCAAAAGTGTGGCTTTAAAATCCCGCAGGGGGAGAGGGTGGTACTGCAGGCTGGGGCCTGGAACCTCCACTCTGGGAGTTTGGCTGCTAGCAAGCATCTTGATGGCAGTCCTGTCGGTCACAGAAGGGAAGATTTTGGGGTTGTATTTGATGTGTATTACTGCTCTTTCCCCCCAAGAGTTGGTGTCCTTGAGCCTTTACCCAGGGGTAGAGGTCTGCTCAAAGGGATGGCTTTAAAATCCCCTGTAGCCCTTAGGCCAAATTCAATAATTTTTGAATGAGTATTCCTTAAATGATACAGCAATATTTTATCTATTTGCTGAACTGAAACTTGGTGTTGCTGTGATGCTGCACACTGTTCCACAGTCTTGTCAGATACCACAGTGGTTACCCATTATGTACAATGTTTGGATGAACTTCCAGATTCATTTATGCTGGGAAGCAGGAGTGGCATCCACTTCCTAAACTAGGTACCTCTGGAAACGCTACAAACTCTATAAACTCTACAAATTCTCTAAACTCTATAAATGTACAGAAATTAGTTGTTAAATTAGAAATTAGTTAAAGAACAGAGTCTACACAGAAATGATGTTAGTTGTAGAACAGAATTCAGGTCTTTTGTGGAAAGCTTACTCTCAGTCATATTCAACTTGGCAACACTTAACCACTGCTAAATGAAACTACTGCTGTTATATCTGGAGGAACACTCTTCCACTTTATAGATCACTCTTTGTCAGTGTGCTGTATGAAGTAACCTGGGTTTGCTGAGATGCTGAACCTTGTACCATTGGGGTATCAAATATCATAATGGTTCCCCAATGTGGACAGTGTTTGGTGGAGCTCCTAGTTGTGAAACAGGTTTAGAAGCAGGAGTGGCATCCACTTCCTAAACCACATGCCTCTGGAAACTGGAAACTAAGAAATGACGACAGTTATGGAAAGGCATTATTGTTGTTGTTATGTGCTGTTGAGTCACTTGTGACTCATAGCGACCCTATGTATAAGAGCCCTAAACCCTGCTCTCTCCTGTGCCAACCTCACCATCTCTAACACACTTACTCCTACCACCCCAATCACAGAATCGATCCATCTTATTGAGTGTCTTCCTCTTCTTCACTGTCCCTTCACGCTCCCAAACATAATGTCCCTCTCCAAGGACTGGTCCCTCCTAGCAACATGACAAAGTACGTCAGATGAAGCTTCAGAAGCCTTGACTCCAAGGAGCAGCCTGGCTTCACCCTCTCCAGGACAAACCTGTTTGTTCTCCTAGCAGTCCATGGTATATTCAACACTCCTCTCCAGCACCATAGCTCAAAAGCATCAATTCTCTTTCTGTTATTCCTAGTCACTGTCCAGCTCTTCGATGCATAGCATACAATTGCAAAGACTATATTCTGGATCAGGCGCACCTTAGTCTCCAGCTTGATATTGTTGCTCTTTTAATACTCTGGAGAGGTCCCTGATAGCTGACTTTCCCAAAGCAATTCGTCTCTTGATTTCCTGGATGATGGTACCAAGAGTGTTAACTATGGACCCAAGCAAGCTAAAACTGTCAACAGTCTCAGTCTCTTCACCATCCATACAGATGCTGCCAATTGGTCCAGTGGTAATAGTGTTTATTTTCTTGATATTGAGGAGCTTTAATCCATATTGAAGATTGCAGTCCTTGACCCTCTGCATTAGGTCTTGTTTATAAAGTCAGTATTTGTCGTGATCGACTCGACGGCAATCAACAACAGGATCAACAATGTTGAAGAGAGCACTGGTGGCCTCGTGGCAAGAAAAGATGGCACACAGTTTGAACCCAGCAGCTGCTCCATGGGAGAAGGCTGGGCAGTCTCATTCTGTGCGATTCAATGCCTCTGAAAATCTGCCAAAGGGTCAACTGTGGGTCAGTTCTGACTCAATGGTACAAGTACACAGCAACAACAGTAGCATTGAAAACAACATGGAACAAAGCATATCATGACTGATATCAGATAAATCTTGGCTGAAAGCAGTAAAATAACAGAAAGATGTTACTTGTGTATTATTGACTATGCAAAGACATTTGACTATTAAGGCCAAGAAAGCAAATAGATATATCTTGGAGAGGATACAGCTGGATTGCTCTTTGGAGGCAAGAATGATGAGGCTTCACATACTTTGAGCATGTTGCTAGGTGGGGCTGTTCCTTGGAGAGGGACATGATGCTGGAAAGGGTGGAGGGTCAGCGAAGAAGACTAGGTGGATTGACATGGTGACTGCTGCAATGGGCTCTTGTGTGTCAGGAAGCCTGAGGATGGCACAGAATAGAACCAGGTTCAAGTCTTTTGTTCATGGGGTTGCTATGAGTTGTGCTCAAAAACTTGGCTTGACAACACCTAACAGCAACAGATTATAGATAGCTTTGTGAAAATTGGTGTTTTAGTTATCTAGTGCTGCTATAACAGAAATACCACAAATAGATCACTGTAACATAAATTTGTTCTTTTATAATTCCAAGTTACTACAAGTCTGAGATAAGTAAGAGTGAAGAATTTTCCTCTTTCAGCTCTTGAGGGAGGTCCTTGACTCCTTTCAACATCTATGGATCTTGTGTTCCTTAAGATTTATTTCTGTATATCTTAACCTTCAGCTAGGTTGAAGAGAGTCCCTCTTAAGTGCAAAGGACATGCTATGCTACTGTCTCATGTTCCTTGATTACAATGAAGTCTCACTCTCTTGTTAGATAAAAGGTATTGCTGGTCACACCCCAAAGAGGCTCCCTTTATCGAACTTATATGGGGTTTAATGTGTTGTCCCCCATCCTAATCTTTTTACAACTGATTTGCTTATGAAAAAATTGAGAATCAGGATATAACTTCCACATTACAACATACATAAAAGTACAGAATCATGCTCACCCAGTTAAATACCTATTTTAGGGAAACACAAGTATTTCATGACAAATGGGAACTATGTTGTTGTCGTTAGGTGCCATCTAGTTGTCTAGTTGTATAACAGCTCTGAAGCCTGCCCTGTCTTAAGCCAATCTCACTGACTCTGCCACAACTACCGCTGTTACCCGTTGCAGTATCAGTCCAGTTCATCCAGGGTCATTACTTTTAGCCCAAGGCCTTTTCCAGACTATCAGAGTGTTCTGGATAGTAGGCTGAGTAGCCTTAGAGAACAAAGCTACTAAAGACTTCCTGTCAATCCTTTTGTTGAAATGAAATCTCTATCCTAATATAAGCTTTTTTCACCCTTCTGAGATTAACATCATTGGGAAATCACCTTCCCCCCCCCATTCCTATCTGTGGCATATGTTAAATATTCAAAGCGTATCTTCCTCTGCTTCTTTGTGTAACACAAAGGAGAAAGAAATTTGTATACTTGTTACTAAATATTATTAATTACATATTCTCAGAGCAATTTGTGTTTGCGATAAGATTAAAATGTTTTAGGATACCATCACTAGTAGTGCTAACTCGTCCTTTAGTTTTCTCTTAAACCAGAGAAGTATTACAAACAGTAGGAAGACAAAGTTATTTGTCCTGCTGAGAAAATGAAACCCACTATCCATTTTCAAATGACCATTATAGCCATGGTATTGTGGCTATTTCATTTAACTGTGTGAGGAGGGAGGACCTGGGGGATGATATTATCATCAGTTGTTGATATCTGACTCTCAGATCTGTATTTCTAACCTAGTTTTCTCTAGATGCCTTGACATCTAGTTGAATTTTCTCCAGTAACCCACATTTTGGCTGAAGCTTAATTATTTTTTCTTCTCCAACTTCTCGCTGCTGTGTGATTTCAATGGTTTCAATATCCTCTAGAGCAGAACATTAAATTCAGTTATATTTTTAGTGCTTTTTCACTGCACCACCACTTAGTTGCTATGTTATAGCAACTTTTCATCCATAATATGTCTCAGATCTGTTCTTTTCATTGTGCTATGATTCTTTTTTCCTGTTTTGTGGTCTTGAGCCTGAGCTGCTGCATTAGCCACAATCTCCTTTTCCCTTTCTTTTCCTACAGTCCTAATTGCCTTAGTTTCCTTGAAGCATAGTTAAGATGTTGTCACTGCTCTCTGTTGTCGAGAAAATTAAGGCAAAAT